CCTGTAATTTTCCAAAGTATGGCATTAAATTGGTCTTGCATGTGATTGTTGTGATTGTGATTTATAAGTTTAAGCAAAGCAGGCAAAGCAATATAATCTCCCTGGAGACAAGAAGGTGGTGAACCCTTCTGCCACTTTAAAAAGAGAGTCTTTTCAGATGTGAGTTTGAAGTTGATAATAGTGTGAATGAAAAGAGCTCGGTGCAAAAGCAATTCATTACAAAAAAAATATTATTTTTCTAAATTTGATTCAAAATTTTACTGTGAAAGTTGTAGAGTGTGGACCAGTTTTAAAACCCACAGCTTTTAAATTGACACATCAAAATTATTTTCCGAACCTGGAATTTTCAGACATTTTCTTTGACTGACTCATTTGAAAGAGACCATTTTAAGCTTTGAGACATTTCAACAAAGCAGTTCTTGCATGCTTCACTTTTCCATGAAAAACTTTGAGTTTCTGTTTCTTCTTGTAATAGTGCAAAGATAAGTGAAACAAAAACTCACTTCTGTAGTGTTAACAGAGTATTTAGGTGCTCAAATATGTCCAGTGAATATGTAAGTGACAGTGACAATTTTCTTTTTTTAAAGGTGCATTGTGTAACTTTTCTGGTGAAGTGGCCGTCACCTGCTTGTTTCTATGGAGATGTCATTTCTCTGCCTGAAATGTTCCACAGTGTGGCGTTAAACAGCTCTACCTTACATTTACTCAATTACAGGTGGTCTTATAGCTCAGTAATATCTATAAAAACATGCATTCTGACTGTGAGCGAGCTTGCCTCTCTACAGATCTGACCTGTAACTTGGTCTGGTTTGGTCTCCATGCTGATAAAAAGGTTTAATACCATACTGTGAATCATTCCAGACAAAGCAATAATATCTCCATGGAGACAAGCTTTTGAAGGACCCTGAACCAGAAAAGTTACACAATGCACCTTTAAATATCTTTTTTCTTTTTAACTTAATGGATTCAACACTTGCTCACCAATGGAAGTTGTGTTCATGCATATTTTAGCCTTTAGCATTTACAAACAACATTCTCAAATAGAGCTTAACTGAATGAAAAAGCAAGGCTGAAACTGTCAGAGTCATTGGTATGCAGACTGCTATCAACTTGAAATCTGTAGAAAGACCAGAATAAACAAACATTTATGTAGCTCTTTTGATACAAATTAGTGAGTTTACAAGTTATATCAAAGGTTAACAAATTACCAATTTTCACCACTGGTTTGTTTACATGTCTGTATGTCAGTGGATTTATAAGTCAATGCAAGTTAGGGTTGCTCTTTGAACATTTTTAGAATTAGGAGATGGGTGATATGAAGTGATTACCAGTATATTTTTGGTGAATGCTTCACGTACAGATATAACTATCCAAAAACTTTGAAGTGTAATCTTGTTTTTCTAACAACTCATAAACTTGAAAATTACTTTTAATTACACCTACAATAGCAAAAAATATCTATAAATTCACTATAGCAATCTATAGAATCAAATGTCCAATGAAATAAACTTACAAGTCATGTTGTTAAATCTTTTCTATCAGCATCCTTTTAGTCCTATGTGAGTGATATTTTTATTGTAGTAAATGTAAATTTTTATCACGACAAATGTTTTATGTTGTATTTTATGCTGTTAATATGAAACAATTGGAACATTTATGTTTCTTGCATTGCTCCCTCAGTAATTATATAGTATTTCTCATTTTGTGTTTATCATTTAAAAATACTTCTCAGTTTTGTGATTTGTGCATTATTTACCCTTTAAAGATGCATTAAATAATTCTAAATTTTGGTGGGGGATCGATCACCTGCTTGTTTCTATGGATATGTCATTGGTTTGTCTGAAATGTTTCACAGTATGACATTAAAAGGCTCTACCTTACATTTATTCAATTACAAGTGTTTTCCGAATTACCTAGAATAACAGGTGAGTGGGGTTGCCTCTCCACAGACCTGACCTGTAACTTGATCTGATTTTGTCTCCTCCACCAGAATAGTTACACAATGCACCTTTGAGTTACTCTTATTTGAGTAGTAGTTTTTCCAAATACTTTTTTACTCTTACTTTAGTCATTTCTTGGACCACTACTTTGTACTTCTACTTGAGCAATATTACTTTACTTTTACTGTAATTTTTGGCTACCCTACCCACCTCTGCACCAAACGCTGTGCCCTAATGCATGCTTCTTGTCTAACTCATCCCCTGTTATGGTGTAAACAAAGCCAGTCCCTGTGGATTTGGAGCATTCCTCTGAACATGTTTGTAATGAGTGTGACGGCGGCGCTGCTGCCTTCACGGTCACTTGGTTCCGTGTGCCCGCCCTGCATATGTTGTGTGTAGCAGTCCTGAGAACGGAGGAGTGAAGATCTCCAGAGAGGCAGGTGTGCTCCCCTCATTACTTTCTGACAATGCCCCATCTGGTGCAAGAGAAGCTGCTGCCACCACCGTCGACAACTCTGCCAGCCCAGGGACAAACTCTCAGAAGGGAGGGTGACGGGAAAGAAAGAGAACGTGTGGAGCTGGATGTAGGGAGAAAGATGGTGGGAGGTCAGGCTCAGCATAAAAATACAGTATGATATGGTTTCATTGTTTTTTAGTTAATGCAGTTTAGAGTACAAAATAAATATAAAATACTAAACATGAGTGTGGTAACTCACTCATCATCTAGTTGTGGTCAGAATATACACCAGTCTTAGTCCAAAATGAAATGTAAGAAATGGTTCCATCATATCCATAACTGTAACTTGAATAATTGTATGGACATTTAGGAAAACATATATTTACATACAGCCCTTTAAAAATGTTACAACATTCAAAACAGCATTAGATTTACAGATCACTCTTAACTTTAATGTCCTCATCATACCAGCTCTTGTCTTGAACAGTTTGTGCAACAGAGATAACCCAAATAATATTTTGAGTAATTTAATTGTTACGTTCTTTTATACATGGTCTCGTGAATGTTTCAACTCTGTCAAAACAGGCTGCTGTTCCCATAATGACCTGAGAGAGGCGCCAAAGACACAGTTGTCCAGTGCTTGCCCTTAAGGCTGTATAACACCAGATTAGAGAGTAGAAAAAGACATGTGAAAAGAGAAACAATTTTCATAATGGAGCTCTGTGCTCTGACTGGAAAACACAATTATGTGCAAACTGTGGCCACAGCATGAGTCTGAAGTTAAAGAGGGCTTTAGTGGGACCTAATCGGGCCTGACTGCAGAGAGGGCTGGCACACGCCGGACCGACCAACACAAGTTTGTGTAACGGGCCATTAGCTTCAGTGAGAGCCAGGTCTGCCCTCTGCTGATGAGCACTCTGCAGATGAACTAACAGTGTCCTCACAACTCCACACACAAACACATCCACTCTATAGGCTACTCTGCATTGTCTTCATCGTTACAGGGGAACAACCTGAAGGCATAAAAGGCAAGGATCTTGTTTTGAGACACTGTAAGGTCTGTGTCTGATTATAAACTCTTGTGTAAGTCTTTTATGTTGAACAATTATTCACTAGGCCTATAAATATTTATGATAATGAAGTGCGCTTTCTGTCAGCTCATATGCCACACAAATATTCAAATGGTAGCAAAGACATTATTCAGAATCAGCATCAGATTTAAAAAGTGATAAAACAAATAAGAAAATAGGTCTAAAGAATATGACGCTTCAAGGTTAACAGTGCAATGTGAGCTGGTGGGAGAACTGTGTAGGAGGGGAAACACTGGAATAATAACTAAGGCTCTGTCTGGACCATAACACAAACCTAACTAAGCCAATCTACAACTACCCTGAGTTCATAATGAGTATATTAGTTTATAATAAAAATGTTGTACCAAACTATTATAAAATCAATAACTAAGAACTTAAAGAAGAACTTAAAGGTCCTATATTACCCAAAATTGACTCTTGTGAACTTTTAGCTATGTTAAAATGTTGTTATCTCCTCAAAAAACATATTTTGAGTCCATTCACAGGTTTCAGTAATAATTTCTAAACTCAAAATGCTCTGTTCCATGTTGTGATGTCATGTAGTGGTAGTTTTACAGTTTGTAGCTACTGTTTTCCTTTAGTTCAATAGAGATGGGCAATTCCGGGGATGAAATTATCCAAATGATTCTAGTGAAGGTGTATGGGGTTTAAACACACAGTGGAGCACTTCCTGTATTACCACATGACATCACAAGGTGGAATAGAATGCCTGAGAGATGATCTAAAGGATTTACGTGTTAAAGATGTGTGAATAAAACAAAAACGTAACACCAGGTATGTTTTTGGATAAGGAAACAACATTGTAACATAGATCAGAAAACAGCGTAATATGGGCCCTATAAACAACATTTTAAAAGTACGAACAGAATCAAGTCCGTCTCTAAAGTTAGTCTGTCCCATATGAGTGTGTGGCCAGGGGATATTAGGGACAGGTGCAGGCAGAAAAACTAGGCCTGTGATTTATTTATTTTTTTCTCCCAAACCAACATTATGCAAACTAATGACCAATGATCCGTGCCTCCAGAACCGAACCATTCATATCTTATCTGATTTGTGGCAGATGCGGATCATAACACTTCATAACGCCGCATTTTCGCTGGTACAATTGCACATCCCTCACCTTCCCTTGGCATAAATCAGCGCAGTTATGTCTCTCCAACAAAAAACATCTGCTTCCTTTTCATCATCCTAATCATGGTGTCACTCATCCTCCCCGCTTCGTAAATTTGACTTTTAAAATGCATTACTTATTTGCATCAGAGAAATAACCCGGTTCCATCGATCATATTTATCGTACAATTATTTAACTTAATTGAACAACGCGTCCACGGTGTCCTGCCTGCTTTCCATCTCTCCCTTATCCTCATTTTAAGCCACGCCCAGCATTACATCGGCACAACCCTCCACCTGCTCTCTTCGCGATCTCATTGGCCATTACGCGCACATGGTCCACCCCACTGATGGCATTTTTAAATATATTTACATTGTCAAAAGTCAAGTAGATTCCAAGCCCTTTTTTTTTCACACACACATTCCGAGGCAGGGAGAGAGAAAGTGGGTGTGTGTGCGGTGGAGCGTTTTTTGGAGAGCTTGTCATTACGCACGCAGCGCTTTGACAGTTCACACGCCGTTGGTGTACACGAGTCTCCTGCGTTGTACACACACTCGCTGAAGGCGCAGGCGGCGAGTGGACCTGCGGGTTCATGTCACTCTGATTTACTCCGAGGAAGAGGAATTTACCGAGGAAGAGATCGACACAAAGCGGAGGGAATACGCTTCTACGACGATGGCTTTCTCAAACGTGTGGAACTACTGTGTCCCGTTGACCATCTTGACCGTTGCCTGTCTGATGCGCACCGGTAAGCAACCCCAAACCACTCTTTTTAACGCTACAGAAGTGTGTCGAATCTGTTCTGCTGCAAGTTTGTAAGTTTGAAACGCCGATGTGCAAGATGTTTGTCAGGAAATCACCGCTTTGCTTGCTGTTTGTTTGCCTATAACACGTGCACCTCTGCCAGTTTCAAAAGCGAACTGCGGGGGTTGTGCCACAGCTAGCGGTCAGTATTCATCTTTGTGTCCCCTTTGCGCAAAGCTGGACTACATCCATAACGCTACTTAGTGTGACTCATTCATTGTATGCTTACGGAAGTGGAGCGCTGGACAGACCCCAAAACAGTAGGCTGCTGCGTGTCAAAACAAAAGTGAATGGCCAGGGGGGGCTGACAGTTCTGAGTGGTTCAATGACAGCATCACTTTGGTTGATTCTGTGAAGCGTTTCCCCTGGTGGTTTTGGCATCCACGCGCGCGCTCATAACAAATGCCCGCAGTGGAGCAGACGTGGGTCACACTATTACCACTATAGGTTCTGCACTGAAAGCTTTCATATTACGCAGCGTTTGGGATCAAGTCTTATGTGTTACCAGGTTTATTCTGTAACTATTTCCTCGCGTTTAATCATTTCCAGAAGCTTGCGCGCGGGAAGACCTTTAAGACTTCGCCTTATCAGACATAATAACGTAAGTGTCTGTTGTAAAGCCCTTTTAATGGCACCTGTGCTCACTGTATCCGTCCCTCGCTGTAGTGCACTAAGCTTGGCACTGGTCCCTTATAGGTACAATATAATGACGCTCTCCACCTTCAGCTATAACAAGTGCATCTGCTGCTAAGGGACGACTATTCGGATCAATCAAGCAACTTTTACGCCTCGTGGTATCTCGTGCCATCTGTTTAGAGTGTATGAATTTCAAAGTCATAATGAAGGCTGTTATATTCCAGAGGAGAGCCCCGGTGCGTAGAAGGAATGACAACGAGGGGAGCGCACAGTGATTCGCTTGTATGTAACGCTGGGGAGGATTTGATAGAAGGCGTCCCAGGGCAAGGATGGGGTTAAGTGTTGAGGTCGGCTATTGTCACAGTCAGGGTCTGCTGTGCTGTGATGTTGTATATAGCCTGCACTACACACGGTTCTCCTCCTCTCATCCAACCCCCATCGCACCAAGTATTGATTCTTTCCCCCTCGTGCGTCTTAGCGCGCGAGTGTGTGTGTGTGTATATGTGTGTGTGCATGTGTCGTCTAACAACAGTGGCCCAAGCTGATTTATATGCAAGAGCACATGTAGGCGTTTTGTATCTTGGTCTTAGTAGTTGAAGTGTCCGGGTGGCTGTTTAAGAATACACTTGTGAGGTGGTTGGAAGAATAGAAGGAGGAGGAGAGGAGAGCAGAGGAGAGAGCGCGCGGCGTAGGCTACAGTGCTGGGGTTTTTGCACCGAGCTGCAGGCTGCCTCTGCTGGGGGCTGCTCACTGATCACCGTCATTAATCTAGGCACTGACAGGGGCCGGGAGAAACTGGGGGCAGGCGGCGGAGGGAGGCTGGAGGCAGGGGGTAGAGATGAGGAAATGTAAGCTTTGTTTTCTGCAAATCTACAGTTATAAGGCGAGGTGTGTTAAAACCTAACCCGGCTTGTATTGCGCATTTATTGTTTGGTGGGCTGAAGTGGCACAAAAGGTATTCTTCTGTGTAATGTCACTGCTTTTACTGTTTGTTTTCATTATATTAATACATAAGCATACTTCTACATACATGAAAACTTCAATCCTTGGGGAATGATGGTAGAGCGGCACAATGTTGAAAGAAGAAAGCTTAATTGAAATATGTTTAAAAGCAGGATTCTGTGCAGAGTTAATACTTGAGAAAACACTTAAATATGAGCTTAAAAATATAAACACAAGAATGCATTTTAGAATATGGGGTTATGCAAGCCCTAATTCATGGTCACCTATAATCTTCTGTTGCGGTCTTGTCCCCTGGCAGTTGACTTCACAACACTGCACATCTGTTCCTACATTATACATCTTACAAATTGAGATAAACATATAGAAACATGAATGTGTAAAAATAATACCAATTGCTTTAGCATTTGGAACACAGTGATGAGCATAAACCTCAACAAATCCCAGGTGAAACTTAAAGGCGCACTATGTTACTTTTGTTTGGGGTCAATCACCTGCTTGTTTCTATGGATATGTCATTACGCTGTCTGGAATATTCCACAGTATGACATTAAACAACTCTATTTTACATTTATTAAATTACAGGTGGTTTTATAACTCAAAAATACCTAGAAAAACAGGCATTCTGACTGTCAGCAGGTGTTTCTCTCCACAGATCTGATGTGCAACATGGTCTGGTTTGGTCTCCATAAGGATAGAAAGGTTTAATACTATACTGTGAAACATTCCAGACAAAGCAATGTCATCTCCATGAAGAAAAAAGTTGCAAATTGCACTTTAAACTCTTCACAGTTGACCTCATAGTCACGCATGATTCCTGTACTAAAGTTGATCCATGTCCTGCTGTGTGATACAATTTACAAATTAGTCACTTTCATGAAGGTCTCAGCATCATGGACAAAGCAATATTTATTTATGAAAACACTGGTGAGGAAAATTACGCATAATGGAGCTTCCAACAGACTGCACAGAGCCTATTCATTTGCAAATGAGATACAGTAATAAACATATGGTCTGAATGACATACAGAAACATGCAAAGGGTGCTTTGGCTTCTAGCTCCATTTGATTCTAAACAGCTCCGTATGTATAATGTACCGGATATGTGTTTACATTGAAGATAGCACTGGCGCAGTTAACCTTCTTGAATAAACACTATCATAGCTATTACATATCTTATTATATGCCAAAACACTTTTTTCTCTATGGAGTTCCCCATACATAAGCTGAACTGACTCCTATGTGATTAATCAGTTTCCTTGCCATTAGCGTTCCATGGAAAAAAAAAAAAAAAAAAGACAGTAGGGAATGCCAGCTGTTTATGCAATGTGCTTTTATTTAGGAATACACCGACCAGGCTTTTTCAGTTCTGATACCGATTCCTATACTGCATCTTTTAAGTATCTACCCATACCTGATATTAACTGATACCAGAGCAGAGACTGAAAACAGGAAATAAAATAAGACAGTTCTGATCACGTAGCTATTATTTCTTCCAGGTAACTGCTGAAAAGTTTTAATATTTTCTGAGTCAACTACAACCATTAAAAAGACTTATTGCATATGGAACTTGGTCTTGTTTGATCTCCGCGAAGATCGACAGGTTTAATGCCATACTGCGAAACATTTCAGACAATGCAAAAACATCTCCACAGAGAAAAACACTTGACGGATGCTCCACCAGAAAAGTTACTCAAAGCAGCTTTAAGATATTCAAACTGTTAAAAAAAAAAACTCCAAATACTCCATTCTCATTTCACCTACAGCAACAGTGACACAAATAAAGGCATCACGCGCCATACAGAGCCGGACATTATCGCTCAGTGCCAACAAGCCCTAAAGTGCTTTGTTTTGGAACACCCTTGAACACAACCAGAGTCTATTTCTGAAACCAGCTTTTCATGGTCCGTGCGCAAACAGGCTTAGCTAATCTAGAGGAGAGAAATAAGGAGACAAAAGCAGGGGAGGGGATGGGGGCTGGTGCCTTGTTATCATGCATGGATTGTGTTGGGCAGAATTGATTGGGAGGATAGACGGACGGCGTGGATCGTGAGTCCGCTGTGAAGATGGCACAGCTGGGGGACAAGGTCTTTGTACACACACCAAAGATGGACAGACGCGAGGAGGAAGGATGGAGGAGGAGAGAAGAGGCGTGAAATTTTGTGGCTGTTAGGGTTTTCAAAAAGGTAGTCTGTTATGAGTGGTTTTTCGTAGAGTAAAAAGAAACTGGCATACCTTTTTATTTTGTTTTAGCATTTTTAGTTTTGTTATAATAGATTCACAGTTTATTCAACATCACCCAGTTCTGATAATAATATTTTACTTTGAAGCGTAAAAACACACAGCAGATATTTCAGCTTGTTGGATTGATTTTGGTTTGGAATTTCTAAGAATGATAATAATCTTGCTGAAGGTTTTGTTAGATGCGAAAATAAATACATTTACAAAGCTGACTGGAGTGTCTTGCCCAGTGGCACAATGATAGTATTTGATGTCCATTGTATTAAGAATGAATGTCTCTACCTCATGGAACCATATCTACAACTTTTTAGAGGTGGGAAATACTGACTTTTTTTTTTTTTATTATTATTTCGATGAACACTCAGGTACTCGGTATCTTTTCAATTATCTATATTTTCAGCATTGTTTTTGCACATCTTAGAAGCGGTAACTGTGAAAATATATAGTATCTCCCTCCTCTTCAACCACCACATTACAATGCATTACACCTTATTAATTTCTCCCCAAAACAAAATAAAGCCAAAAACAAATTCTTTTCATGTCACAAGGATGAATCCACACCCACATCTTCACAGACACTTGAGGATAAAAAAGATGCAAGGATGCTGATGATGCAGAGTGAGGGGGTTGAAAACAAGAGAAGAAGAAAGCCATCGTGACTTCACAGTGTGTCTGAGGGCCTGGCCTGGGGGACCTGCACATATGTGGGATTACCTCTCTGTGGGTTAGCTTGCTCCGAGCGTGACTTAGCGGGGGTGGGATGATGCGCCGAACACGCACCCTATATACAGTTACTAATGCCTCTATCTCCACCTCTTTCTCCTAATCTCAGCCGCCCATATTTCTTGCCTGACCAGCCAGTCCCTTCTACTTTCTATTTGAAATGAGAAGGGTCTGGAGTCGGACCACAGAGCGTGAAAATCCTCTGTCCAAACTTGAAACGATTCAACCACAGCTGCTAATTTGAAACATGAAAACATTTTTGAAAATTCTCATAACACTGTTGATTCTGTCAAAATCCACGCTGTTATTCAGTCCTTTATGTTTTTCTCCTTTTTTACACGTAAACAGCCACACTCGGAAAAAACAATATCTAGGTACATTAACA